GTTGTTGGATTTAAGAAGGAAGGGCACAGCCCCGTTCATGCCCATTCGTGTCTGATTTTGCTCAAGACTCCAAATCCTTTAAGAGTTCCAAAGCGGTGTTATTTGTCTCATGGCCACGCAATTACTAATTGGAAATTATTGAGCCTCATTTAGACTGCCGGCTTCTCCCAGCTGCTCCTGTTTGGGCCCCTGGAAATTCCACATTATTAGTGAATCATCGCTACCCTTTGTAATAAATCTGTAACTCATCGATATTGTCTAATTTCTTAAACATTTTTTTTCCCCTTGGAGTTGGCTCATTTCAGGCTCTTAAGAGACAGGACTGAAGTAGCTCGCCGAAACACGATGATTAAAATAGGAGACTCTACCTTTTTATCTCCACAGTCAGACGAGCTTAGTAATCGCGAGGTAAACGGGGAGCAGCTTTGGACTTCTTGGTCACGGGCATTATTTAGGAAGGGAAATGAACGGATGAGGAAATTTTGGTAAACGAGAGAGGCAGAGGCACACTTCCTGTGTCATAATAACGTAAGAGGAAGAAGGCATGTGTCGCCCTCCAGTTGGTACAAAGATTAAAACCCTGTTTCACTTGGAAGAACCACAAATTCAAACCGAATCCAGACATTCTCTGGCGTTAATCGAAGGCCACCTTCTGCTTGTAAAGCAACCGCTGTTACGACGATGACGTATTATTTTGTTTTCTGTGCTTCTTCCTGGTTAGGTTTTGGGATGCAGGTTCCACCTGCTCTTCCAGAGCCTCTTTCACTCCTTCCCCACTGTGCATGTTGGATTTAAGGAGAAGGAAGGGCCCCACCGGTGCCCGCAGGCTGGGAGGCCGACAGCTCAGGAGTGTGTCCGGCGCCCCCGAGCTGGGCTGCGGCCTGGCTGGTGGACGCGCCGGGCCAAGCAGCGGGCGGAGGCAGGTGGCCTCCTCTGTCTGCAGTGCTTGCGCTCCCTGCCAGGCCATGGCTCTGAACTAGCCGCCTTCTCTCTCCGAAGCCGCCCCTCCTGCCCCCGGCCGCATCTGGAACCCTCGGCAGCTCGTGCTGGCTGCTGCTTCGCGGGCCCTTCCAGACTGAGGAGCAATGGAAACGCCCCTGGACGTGCCCCGCGCTCACCCTCAGTCGCCCACCCGAGGGGCCCTTGGTCTCCTGGGATCGCGGCTGACGGAAGCATCACGGAGCTCTCCACCTGCAAGGTGCAGTTCCAGAACGCCTAGCACCTGGAGCCACTCGCTCTAAGTGCTTCACTGTACAAATAAAGAGGACAGAGGCCCCGGGGGGAGGGGGGACTTGCCACGGCACCATCGACGGCAAGGCTGGCAGGAACCCACAGCGCCTGCCTCCGCAGACGCCATCGCCGCCGTGCTGGCCAGCTCTACTGAGGCTCCTTCCTGCCGGGCTCTGTGCCGAGCGTGTGCTGGTCGTCCTTCCTTCTCACAGTCCCATGGTGTCATTATGCGTTTGTCCCTGTCACGGGGCCCTGGGGGAAGACCCCACGGCCGGGATTCACTCCTGGGTCTTTCCGAGTCCAGAGTCACCTTCAAAGCGCCCGACGATGTGCCCCTTGCGCACCTGTCACGTGGGCCGAATCCGCCAGCAGGGCGGCATCTCAGAGGCCAGGCTACGTGTCCAGCCGGACAGCGTCTGGGAGGCTGCAAGGGGCGTCACAGGCGGCCGGGGAGCCCCCTCTGGTCACACCACTTGTTCATTGCAGTTGAAGCAGCCATCCTGACGGGACAGACCATGGTGGGACAGTCGCCGTCCTCAGGGGCCACCGAAAACAGGCTGTGGGCAGACAGCGGCAGCTGGCGTCGGGAAGTTTTCAGGGGCCAAGCTCAAGTCCAGAGTTAGTGATGGGAAACTGTCAAGAGCAGGGCAGCCAGGGACGCGGGAACCCAAATGCTTGGACACCAGGCAACCAAGAGCCGCGTCCCTCCCCAGGCCGCCTTGGAGTCACACACACAGACAGGCCACGTCTCTGTTGTAAATGAGCAAATCAGTAAAGAAAATCTGGAAGAAATGGAGAAGGAAACTATAGCCTCCCAGCTCAGGATGTGGACCACGTCACAGCAGAGCGCACAATCTGGGGAAACTAAGTCACGGGAGATGTTCCCCATGCAGGTGTGTGGCTCGGGACCGGCTGCCGCCCGCTGCCACGTTCCCCCGGGACCCACACCTGGTCCTGCTGCTGGCTGGGCTCCGGGGATCCCGGGAGCAGGCACGTCCCGTGGACCTTGCCGGCCAAGTCATCTCAGAGAGCCTCATTTCCTGGAGCTTGCCCTTCCTCCTCTGTACGGGGAGCCTGGGAAACGCAGCCGAGCAGGTCGGAGCCTCCGCAGAGGGCTCTGGGGACACAGGACTCAGGGCCGCACTGCAGGGCCTGCAGGGCCAGCATCCCCACGTGGAAGCCTGGCATCCTGGAGCCCCTGGTGGTCGCCTTCTCAAGTCGGGTGGCCACCGGCCTGCCCGCCCATGGGGCTTCCTGCATGAGTCCTCCTGGGCTGGTCCTTGGTGCCCAGGAGGCCCCCGCAGATCGTGTGACTGCCCACTGGGGAGCTGCATCGTTCCTTCTGGTTCTCGAAGCCCCGTGGCGTAGCGCTGAGGCCCGTACTGCTCGCAGCGCTGCCCAACGGAGCGGGAGCAGTGAGGTGGCCCACGGCTCTGGCCGTCCGGCACGCTGTGCGACACCAGGTCGGACGGGGCCTGCAGCTGTGGTCCTCCACTGAGGCCCCTGCTTCTAGAATTATAGCAGCAGAGCCCTTGCTTCCCAGATGCACCCGGATGCACCTTGACACACAGGCTGACCTCAGGCCTGTAAAGGTCACATGTGGGACACCTGTCAGCAGGCGGGTCGATCCAGTGTTGGATCTAGGGAATGAAAAGCAGCAGACACGTCCTTTCCAGGATGCCACAGATTGCACCGCACGCCCCCGCATCCTTACGGGGACACTTCCTCCCTGGTGGGGTCTGCTGGGCACGATGAGGGGAGGGCCAGATTTGGGGGCTCACCGCTCGGAGGGGGCACCCGGCCATGCTCACACTAGCCACGGGAGTCAGGCCGCATCGCCGGAGGTCCCGGAGGCCACCCCGCGGTGCTGGGTGTGGGGAGGGGGTGTCCTGGGCCCCACGGCTCCTACGTTGCTCTCACCGCTGCTTATTGCACAGCCACCTGCTTCGGACCCGTTGTGCTTGCCCTGAGCCTTGATGTCCCGCGGTCTCGGAGGGTTTTGGGTGGTCAGCGTTTGGGTGGCGGCTGGAGCTCCCTGAGCTAGGATCTCCCTCCACCATCTGGGGGGAGGACTCTGACCTTTCCCTGGTCCTGTGCTTGTCCTCCGCGCTGTGTCCCCACACTCCCGGCCCGGCTCCCAGTGGCTGCCCCCCCCCGGAGCCCCCCAGCCCCCCCGAGTCCTAAGCCTCCAGATGTCCCCTCTGTGGTTGCAGTAATCCGACTCTCCTTCCCAGCTGCCCCTTCCCTGAACTCCCAACTGCCTCCTGAGAGGGCTCCCCTGCTCCCCACAGTCGGCCCTGCTCAGTGGCCATTGACGAAGAGAGTCCTTTTGGAGTTTTCTCCCTGGGGTGCTCTGCTCTCCTGCCGCAGGCCGCGCAGCACAGACCCAGAAGTGCAGGCCCCTCCCGGACTCCGGTCATTGGGGCAAGCTGACCCTGGGGCCCCCTGGGGCAGGCCCGCTCCAGTTCAACCAGCAGCTGAGGCACTGGGCTCGGTTCCCGGACCTGCAGACCCTGGGTGAGTTCGAGGCAGCTCCCTCCTGCCGCAGAGGCCAGTGGATCCGTGTGCAGGTGCCAGGCAGCAAGAGATCGGGGCTGTGCATTCTGGGCGGTATTTGCTTCTCTCTGCAGGGCAGCATCGCCATCGGAGAAGGTTCCCTGTTGGGGGTGGCTGGGTTTTGCAGGATGAATAGGAGTTCTGGCACCCTGTGTGGAAGTGCGAGCCCCTGCAGTGTGTTGGGGACGCACAAGCAGGCCAGTGTCTGCAGCTGAGAAGGCTGGTGGCCCGGGCCGGCGGCACCAGCAGCCACAGCACAGCAGGATCTGGGAAAGCACCAGCCGGCGCTATGGTCTCACCTTGGCCTCTGGGGCGGAGTGTGTCCATCGGGGCTGGCCCAGCGCCCGGGGCTCAGGGTGGCCTCAGGGGGGTGCGGGGACACGTGGGCATCAGGGGAGATGTCTCCAGGGTCTGTGACCAGTGGAAGGGACCCGACGCCCTGGCCTTATCATGTGGCCCAGGCTGGGGGGGGTAGTGGGTGGACGCCCACCTTCCACCTTGCTCCCTGCTCCTCGGAGTCTGCGCCCATGGGGGCCTAGGACCTGAGAGCCCAGCAATGTCCTTTTTTTTTTTTTTAGAGAGACAGTGAGCGAGAGAGCGAGCACTGATGCGTGGGTGGGGGGTGTGGGGGCAGGGGACGCAGAGTCTCAGGCAGGCTGTGTGCTCCTTGTGAGGCCCCTGCAGGGCTGGACTTCATGACCTGAGAGCATGACCTGAGCCCAGATCAGGAGCCCGACGCTCTACCGGCTACACCGGCAGGTGTTTCCCAGGGTCCGGCAGGCGCTCTGGGCCCAGGAGCCTCTGCAGACCTGCCGCCTGCCCCAGGGCCAAGGCTCAGGGGTCCCAAAGGCTGGGGCAGGCCTCGCCATGGGGAGGGTAGTGTTCAGGGACAGAAGATCCTGCAGGGAAGTGGGGAGGGGGGCAGACCCTGTGCGCGCATCAGGAGCAGGGCTCTGAGTGCAGGGCAGGTCACCCGCCCAGGGTGCCCGGCGGCAGGTGCATCACTGGCGAGGGCATCATAGGTGAAGGAGTGAGATGCGGGTCGTGAGGTCTCCAGGGGCATCGGGCAACGGGGCGACAGGGAAACAGGTGGGGGGGAGGAGGGAGCAAAGACAGCGGGAGCCCCCCAAGAGGAGGGAGGACCAGGGTGAAGATGGCGGGAGCACCCCAGGATGAGCTGCACAAGCTGCGGCGTAAGGTCATTCACACAACAGTTACAGTTTCATTTTCTTTTATTTGTGGCACTAAAAGACACAGAGTAGAGACGGCGCGGTTTACGAGACCCCGGCTGACGTTCTGGCCGCAGCAGGGAGGCGAGCCGCGGCCGTCAGACCGTGCAGAGCAAAGCTTCCACTCTGGGTGATGCCTCGACGTGAAGCAGTCGTGAGACCTTAAAATGGTCTCCCCGTGTCTGTCGTTCCATCAGGACAGAGATTTTATGTCACGGACTCTTGATTTCCACTCGTCTCTTCAAGGGCTCTTTTCAAATAAAGAGGCTTTAGACGGAGATGTGGAAAGTAGCGCTGGGTCTACGCTTCCTCGTAACTACCGGTGGCTGAGCACCCACCGGGCGCGAAGACGAGCCTTCCGTAGGGCTCAGGGGAGCCACTGATCTGTTGGGCCAACGAGCCCGCACCAAACCCAAACTGCGAAATACCAGCACGGTCTTGACCCGACGGTGGCGACACGTGGACACCCAACGTCCCCGCTCTTGGCTGTGCGCAGGGTTTCAGAAGGTTCTCCGGGAAGTAAGTCACTGGGCTCCGTACACGGCCACTGCGGGGGAGGCTCGTTCTACTTCACAGCCCGCCAGGGACGCCGGCACCGGGGGGCACCGACCGTCCACACCCGGGCCACTCTGATCTCTGTCGCCGCTGCCCTAGGAGGATCAGAAGTGCCAGACGTCAAGTGTGATTTTATTCTGGTTGAGAATCATTGGTTTTTTACAAAGCTTAGTTGGTCAGATCGTGGCCTGTGACCTCCCGTGAGGCTGTGACCCCCAAATTTTTGAGGCATGAACATCCAATGGTTTCATTACTCAACAGTCCTCTTCCAGCGCTGTTCGTACTCCTAAAACGTCAGAGTGTATCACACTCAGATCGTTTCCTCTGATTTATGCGTATTTCCTTAGAATTCAGAAGATGTCAAACCACTAAGTGGTCTCAACCATCTGTATGCGGTAAAGCGTCAAAGGTCCGGAATCAGTGTAGTCACCGTAAGTAAGTGTAGTGTTGGGCTCCAGCGTTTGTATCCCCATTAACCTGCCAACAAGAGTAGGCTATTGGCAACTTCAAATATTCAGAGGCAAACACGTTTCCTTGGCACACCAGCCGCGCAGCCGAGCAGCATCTCGCCCTCCCTTGGAACCGTTTTGCAGGACTGGAAATCGATTGTGTGAGTTTGGCCTGTAGACAAGATCCACCAAGTCGTGATGTCCCCGCCCCACTCCCCCCGCCACGTGGCGTCCTTGTGGAGGGCTCACAGGTGGGTCTCCGCCACGGTCTGATGTTCTTGATGATTTACACGAGCAAGGGCACCTGTGGTGGAGAGAGAGCCACAGTTACTCGGGGGACTGGGAGGAGCCAACGGGGTCGGCCCGGGACGCGCGGATCCGCGTGCTAAGGAGCCAAGTGCAGGATCACCCTTGTGATTACGCTCCCGGCGTGAGCTTCTACATCAATACCTGTTGTACTCGCAGCCCCAAGGAGAATATTTCTGAACCACAAACGTGCTTAAACACTTCCAGGGACTTGCTACCACAAGTCTTTCTCTGGAAACAGTGTGTACCCACTGGAGATCTACAGGTCACCTGCCATTCAGCTGGAGCTGTTGGCTGCCCCCAGGCTCCAGCCCTCCCTGAACCCCTTCTGGCCTCTGGGATCTGCTGGGGTCTTTCTGTCCTCTGGACCGGCTTTGCACGGGGTGTTTTCTGTTGGGGATGCCCCTTTCTAACTGGAAACCTATGACTCCTTTGGGTTATCTCCAGGGAAAGGCTCTCCTGACCCCAGTCCTTGTCAGGGCCAACCCGATGCCCAGAGGTGCTGTGGGCTACCCCAGTTCTCTACTGTGTCCCAGACTCTCTGCTCCCTCACTGCCGCAGACTGGCTCCTCCAGGAGGAACCGTGGGACTCTCACTCCCTCCTCTGGGCGCAGAACTTACTGAGTGCTCAGTATGTAACTGTGGTATGAACGAGTGGATGCACACACATGACCCCATTCTACTAGACGCACAAGCTCAAACGTCCACTCTCAGCTCCACCCTGCACCCTCCTGTCCAACTGCAGAAAGTCTGATTGGTAGAATTCCAAAGGAGATCTTTCACTGGCTTTAAGGGCTAAGGTTAGGGTGTCCGGGTGGTTCAGTGGGGTAAGCATCCGACGCTTGATCTCAGCTCCGATCATGACCTCAGGGTGGGGAGACTGAGCCCCATGTAAGGCTTCGCGTTGGGCACAGAGTCTGCTTGGGACTCTCCCTTTCCCTCTGCCCCTCCCTCCATTTGAGCTCCCTCTCTTTCTCCATTTCTCAGATAAATAAATCTTAAAACTAAAAAAAAAGGCTAAGGTTAAACGGTGTTTTGATGACAAGTAACAGGTTCACATGTGTCCTGTGAAAGTGACATTGGATTTCTCCCTGTCGTTTTGCTGGGTTCATGCATTTGAAATCCGACCGTGCTGAAGCTCAGGCGTCTTGCTCCACCTTCTCCAGGGTGTTATCAAAGTGAACACCCAGGGGTCACGCCACAGATCGCCTTGAACACAAACAGCCACCACCACCACCACCACACACAGAATATCTCCTGTGTGCGCCATGTGCCAGGTACCACGTGTGCAGGTACCATGTGTGCAAGCCGTGTGCAAGTGTCTCACTGAAACTCGAGCTCAACCAATCAGTGATGCATCGCTGCCATAGTATCATCGCAAGTACTGCCTCCACTATACAGATGAGGACGCTGCGGTTTAGACGAGGTAACCTGCTCCCAATCAAATACCAGGAAGTTGTAAACCCGACTCTGTTCACCTGACAACCACTCATGGCCCCAGACCATGGACCCACGTGGCTCTGCATGCTGTCGTCTGGACAAGCACACCAGCCCCCAGCCTCTCGGCTCCCTCAGCCTCCCCTTGGCTTCAGGTGCCTCCATTCCCAGCTGAGGGATGAAATAGGACAAGAATTGGGGCGTGGGGGGTACTGAGGGAGACGATTCTGTTCTGAGCTTCTTGAGGCTGAGCCTGTGGAACACACTGTGCATGTCAAGGGGGGGGCTGGAGTCAGTGTCGCCGGTAGGCCCAGGAGGGGGACAGTCTGGGGCTCCCGGAGGCCCAATGAAGGGTCTGCTCAGGGCAGCAAGGGCATTTGCAAGAGAAGAGGTTGTAGGGCTAAGTCCAGGGGCCTCTGCATGGAGCCCAGGACAGGCTTGGGCAGGGGAAGGGGCGCCCAAAGGAGACTCCAAACACGTGGCCGGAGGTGGGGGGCATTGGGAGCCTGCTTGTTGAGAGGCAGGGAGAGTCTTGCAAGGAGGGTAAGTAAGCACATCAGCAGCAAGCAGTGCCAGGCGATGTGAAGAGCCCAGAAGGCGGACCACATGGATGCACGTACTTTAAAGGCGTATGTCAGCTTCTCCAAACACTACACACCTTCACAGGCGAGTGTTAATCTGAAAAAGCACGACACGTTCCTCACAGAACATCCAGGAGATCCAGAAACACGGCAGACAGTGTGTGTGCAGGTTGAAGAGAAACAGTGCAGCCAGCAGGCTGCTGACAATGTCGCTCCATCTCCTGACCTTGCAAAACCTACGGAGCGAAGGAGACGTGTCCAAGGACACAGCAGCAGCGCTGACCTTGCCGAGGGCAGTTCTGGGAGCGGTGGGCACGATGTGGTGGCAGAGGGATGGGGGCGTCTGTGCCGTACGGCTGGGAGCCTAGCCGTGAAGACGGACACAGTGGGACAGGAGACCCACTTTGACCCACTCATGACCTTTGCCAAAACCAAGAGTTGGGCGCTCGGGGGCTGGTGGACATGGCGGAGGGAGGGACTTAGAAAATGTTTACTTACTGTTACTGTTTTCACGGTGTAACTGCACATGTTTAAAGTGTGAAACGTGATGTATTCTGACAGACGCAAATGCCCACGAAGCCATCGGCACAATCGAGATCGTGAACATATCTACCACACCCAAGGGGGTCCTCATCCTCCTTTTAATCCCTCCTCCCTCCAAATCATCTGCTGATGATCTCTAACACCCTATCCCTATGGCTTAGCCTGCATTTTCTAGAACCTTATTATTTTTTTTTTAAGATTCTATTTTATTTTAGAGAGAAAGCAGCACACCTAGCATGTGAGGGGGGAGAGGAGGAGAGGGAGAGAGAATCTCAAGCAGACTCCCCGCTGAACGTGAAGCCTGACACGGGGCACAGCCTCATGACCCTGAGATCAGGACCTTCGCCAAACCCAAGAGTTGGGCGCTTAACGGACTGAGCCACCCAGGCGCCCCTCTAGAACTTTATACAGATAATGTACTTCTATTTCTGGTCTGGCTTCTCTCAGCCTAAGTATTCTGAAGTTCATCTACGGCGTTGCAGGTACCAACATTCCTTACACGGCGATGTAGTGATTCACTGTATGGATATACGGCAGTTCACTTACTCATTAACCTGATGATGGACATTGGGTTGTTTCCAGTTTGAGGAAATTACCGATAAAACTGCTACGTATACTGCATGTGAACACGGTCCCTGTATTTATATAGGTTTCGTTTCTCTTGGGTAAGCGCCTAGGAGCAGGATGGCTGGACCACATGGTAGTTGCAGGTGTAACTCTTTAAGAAAAGGTTCCTAACTCTGGGAAACGAACTAGGGGTGGTGGAAGGGGAGGTGGGCAGGGGGTGTGGTGACTGGTGACGGGCACTGAGGGGGGCATTTGATGGGATGAGCACTGGGTGTTATGCGGTATGTTGGCAAATTGAACACCAATAAAAAATAAATTCATAAAAAAAAGAAATGGTTGAACCAGATTTCAAAGTAGTTGTCATTTTACATCCCCACTCACAGGTCTTGGGAGTCCCATCTTGTCGACACTGTGCTATCATTTTTAAATTGAACTGCAGCCATTTTAGTAGGTACGAAGGCGGGTATCCTACGGTTTTTAACTTGCATTTTCATGATGATCAAGATGTGGAGCATCTTTCTGTGTGTCTGTTTGCATCTGTGTATCATCCCTATTCCAATATCTGGCCCACTCTCTGACTTGTTTGCTTTCTTATGGTTTCTTTATGAATTCTAAATATATGTCCTTTATCAAATAAACGCTTTGCCAATATGTAGTCATAGTCTGAGGCTTGTATTCTCATTCTTCTGGTATGTTCTTCTGAAGGGCAGAAGGTTTTAATTTCAATGAAATCCAATTTATCAATCCTTCTTTTTATGGATTGTGCTTTTGGTTTCCAACCCAAGATGTTTTTGCTTAAGCCAAGGTCACAAAGATTTTTCTCCTATGTGTCCTTCTAGAAATTTTATAGTTCTCAGTTTCAGATTTAGATACATGATTAATTCTGAGTTACATAGTGTGAGATATGGATCAAAGTTAATTATCATGCATAAGAATATCCAATGATTGCAATGCCAATGCCATTTTTGGAAAAAAAAAACACTGTCCTTTCTTCAGAGTTACCTCTATACCTTTGTCAAAAATAATTTGTGTAAATATGTGGGTCTATTTGTGGGCTCTATTCTGTTCCATTGCCCTATCTGATGTCAGCACCAGACTGTCTTAATTACTTTGGCAGCATAATAAGTGTCAAAATGAAGAAGCGATAGTCCATCATCTTGAATCTTTTTCAAAGTAGTTCTGACCATTCTAGGTGCTTGCATTTCTATCTCAATTTTAGAAACAGTTTGTCAGTTTCTATGAAAAGCCTGTTGGGATATTGACTGGGTTTACATGGAATTTACAGTTCAATTTGGGGAGCATAATCATCTTAAGTTTGCAAAATAGGATATACCCACCTATTTCTTTAGGTCTTCTTGAAATTCTCTCAGCGATGCTCTGTGGTTATGTACACCTTTGATCAGATTCATCCCTAAGTGGTAATAGTTTTTTGATTCTTGAATCAAAATAATTCTTGAAAATTATTACTTAAAAAATTGAATTTCTGGGGATCCCTGGGTGGCGCAGTGGTTTGGCGCCTGCCTTTGGCCCAGGGCGCGATCCTGGAGACCCGGGATCAAATCCCACGTCAGGCTCCCGGTGCATGGAGCCTGCTTCTCCCTCTGCCTGTGTCTCTGCCTCTCTCTCTCTCTGTGTGACTATCATAAATAATAAAAAAATAAATAAAAAAATGTTTTTTAAAAAAATTGAATTTCTGATTGTTTGTTGCTAATACTTAAAAATACAGCTGTATTTGTAATGCTGCTGTATCCTCTAGCATTGTCAGGCTTACTTATTAAACTTAGAATCTTTTTTTTTTTAAACTTAGAATCTATCTGTAGATCCCATTGGGTTTTCTAACATAGACCATTATATGGCTTTTCTTTACAAT